CACGGCTCGGCACGGCGCGGGTCCGCTGCCTGCCCGATGGAGCTGCCCCGCGCACCGTTGCTCCGCCGCCCTGCTCCCCCCCCGCCGTTATCCGCACCGGGGGGGGTAGGGCAAAGGGGTCCGGTGGTCGAGGGGGGGCAATAGGGCCCCGAGCTTCTTCTCCGAGGGGCAGGCAGGCCCCGGGCCCCGCGCTCTGGCGGGGGGTGCCGGGGCGGCCGGGAGGTGCCTGCCCGCCGGGACACCGCGGTGCCGGGCTCCGGTCCTCCCCTGCTCCGGCTTGCGTCCAGCCGAGCTCCGTTACCGGCCACCTTCTGAAGAAATTAGACCCGAGTCAATAGCTGTGGACGCACCGGAGCAGTGGGGTGCTCGTTTCCCGGGTGGGTGACTCGTGAAAAAGGGGGGTGGGGGGCTGACACCCCGCACCTCCTAGTCCCCTAGCACTGAAGTGCCTCTGACAGAGAGCAGGCAGCAGTCACGAGTGGGGCGCGGAGCTGCGGGGGCGGCAGCCCACGGGGGGAGCTGCCTGGCCTCGACCCAGCTCCCCGGGAACTGCGCAGGGCCGGGCGGGCCAGCAGTCGGGCCGGCTGGGGCAAGGTGCGAGTTAGGGGGGCGGCTGGGGACCCCCTGCGCCGCCGCCCGGGGGGACCTGTCCCTCCCCGGGGAAAGGCAGCAGGAGCTCATCGGCTGCGACACCCCCCACCCCCGTCTGGCTTCTTCGCTCCTTCCGCGGCCAGACCCGAGCTCCCGGAGAAGGAGGCTGCAGCCCTGGCCGAGGGCGATAGGGATGCGCTTTGCTCCGCGCCCTGCCCGCTCCGGACCGCGGGCAACGCCGCGCCCTGCCCGCGCATCCCCGGCCGGGCTTCTCCTCCCCTCCCTCCCCCCCCGGTTGAATCTTCCCTGGGGGTGCGCTCCGCCAGTCACCCTCGCTCCCCTGGAGGCCAGGGAGGCCTTTGCACCCCGAGCGGGATTAGGGCCAGTCCCGCTCCTCCCAGGAGTCCCAGGCTGGCCGAGAGCAGCGGGGGCAGCGCGGCCTTCCCGCCCCCCGGTGCTCCTCCGCTCCGCTGCCGCGGTGACGGGCGGAGGCGGTGGCACCGCGCACCGGGATCCCTGTGCCCCAGGACTGGGTGACTTCGTGGTACCGGCCCTCCGTGTCACCTTCAGCCGCGTCGCTTTATTGACGTTTGCGGGTTGTACTTTCGAAAGACCAAAGCTCGTGTGCGTGGTTTAAAGTCACATTTGTGAGTTGAAAGATGTCACACGACAGACACAACAGTTAGAAGGAGCTGACGAACAACAGGAAACGGGGTTCTATTTTTAGGGTATAATAGGAAGCTAATGTAAGCGGCCAGAGGCTTCCTATATGCCTCCGAGCACCTTCTGTTCCATTCATGCACTCATTCATTCATGCGTTCAACAATAACAACAAGGGAAAACAAACATTCCCGTTCCGTTTCTCACCCCCTCCTTCCCGGGAAGTCCTGCTCTGGGTTTGCACGGGTGGGCTCTGCGAGCGGAGTCCCTCTTTCTGGTTGTTCAGCTTGTTTGTTGGTGGGGGGGTGATAGCTGATGGCGTTCCTCGGGCCAGGATCCCCCAAGATGCTCTCCTGGGGGGGTCCTGCCCGCAGAAGGAGCGCGCAGGGGCTGTGGGCAACTTCCTGGGAGTATGCAGCCCCCTCCCCAATTCACACCAGAGTCCGGGAGAGTTTTTTGTGTCCCACCCCGGGCAGGGTGGCTGGGAAGGTCCGAGGGAAGCTTATTTCAGGAATTACGTTAGTGCGTGTGTTTTGACGCGGGAAGCCCATGGACATGCATGAAGCGGATCTCGCAACAGGATTTTTAGAAGGGGCAGAGAAATGTTGCGGGGGGAGGGGTTAGTGCGGGATCCCCCGTTTTTTCGGCAACAGAACGGAATCCACAAAGCAATGGAAAGGTGCTCGGGAGAGAGTGGGGGGTCTCCTGCAGAGTGGTGGGGAGAAATCTCGAGAGAAGCGGAAAGCCGGAGCATATTCCCGCTGGCGGCGATCCGCTCCGGATGCATATTTGCGGAGAGGCTCCCTCCGCAGAGGCACGGGACTCTCCCCGGCTGGAGCGCGGCTTCGGCGGCCGCCAAACCTGCGCCCCCGCCCCGCGCGGCCGTGGCGTTCCGCGGGTGTCCGCGGCCGCACCGCACGGGTGTGCAAGGCGGCTGCCCGGCTCGGCACGGCTCGGCTTGGCACGGCAGCCGCCGTCCTGGCCTGGCAGCGCGGCTCTGCCCGCGTTATTTACAGCTCCCAGAGAAGCTACAACGGAATATCTCGCCTTGCATCTGCGGATGGCATTTTTTTTCCCGGTCTCTCAAGCCTGTTTACCCCAAAACACATGGCCTCCTTTCTTTCTGCCAGCATGTCATATTGCCATCGTCTTAATAGCAGCTGAGTGGTGAGCAAAGGCTCCCGCAAAAGGAGGTCACCTCCTCAAGCTGGAAGCGAGCCATTTTAAGGAGAGACTGGGGAATTTGAGCGCTGCCAGTGCGAGAGCGAGAGCGGAGCGGAGGCTCCTCTGGATTTCAACCCACTAACATTATAACAGACAGGCAGGCGTCAATGGCTTTCCATACCGCGAGTGTGAAGGAAGTGGCAGGGAGGCGGAGGGGGGGGTAAACCCCAGCCCAGCCTCGCAGATGGATCACACACGCCGCTCTCTATATTGTAGCCTGGGTCAAAATAATAGGAGGCAGAAGGGGAAAGATCCAGAGGAAACCAGCCACTGTCTCTTGTACAGATTTGTAGCGAAGCCTTCGCTGTAATTAAAACCTTACAGCCAGATTCATTCAATGTGTGGCTCCGCAGAGGGTCGGGGGCTGGGGCTTTCTGTTTGGTTAATGTTTTGTCGCGTTGTTGTCGTTGGCTGTTTTCCCTGGTGGGGGGGGTGTGTAGGGGTGGGGAGGTGGGCTTGGATATCTGCTTTAAAATGGATTTCGGCTTCAGGCGAGTGGCTGCCCGGCTCTCCCCGCACCTGGGCAGGTGTGCATCCACACCGCCTTCACCCAAACGGCGGGGACAGGTCTCCTCCGCTCTGCCCACACGGCGAGCCTGGCCCCTGCATGCGGGATCCCCGTAAGGAGTCTGGGCGGGCGGGTTTGCCCTCCTCGCCCCTCCGCTGGGAGCCTGACGTGGGAGCGGCGTGGGGGGACCTTCCCCTCCGTGGGTGAGGGGCAGCCTCCCCGAATGCAGCCGCAGGTTCGCAGACCTCCGCCTGCGAGGCTTTCACTTGGCAGGCGTCCCCGCCTGCGCGGGTGCTGCAGAAATAGAGATGTTGGTTTTAGCGGGGACTTTTGTTGTTTTGTTTTCTTTTCAAATGAAAGAAAAAACAACAACAATTAAAAAAACCCCTCCTTCTGGCAGAAGAAGAAGACGCCATCCAATTAAAAAAAAAAAAAAAGGAAAAAGAAAAAGAAAACCACCGCTCTCAAGTGCCCATCTTGGAAGGGCTCAGAGGCGAATGGAAACTCGAGGCTCTTTTAAGTCAGCAGAGAGGCTGCAATTTCTCCTGCGGTAGCGGCCAGTTTCTCCCCCGAGCCAAGCGCCGCGCCGAGCCCTCCCTGGCCCAGCCGCGCCGGGTCGAGCCGCGTCTCCCCACGGCCACTCGGGTCCTGTCCCGGTGACACCCGCGGGGAACGTGTCACCCCGGCTGCGCTCGGGAAGCCCGGCGAGCGAAAGCAGAGGCTTTAACTGCGGCGAACGGGCGCGATGTCCTCTCCTTTCAGTCTGCTTCGCCTTCGTTTATTTTTAGTACACTTCAAATGCCTACACATTTCCCTTGTTGAGATCAGTGCAATTATTTACTCTACCTTTAGGGATGCATTTACCCAAGCATTGAATGGAAGTGTAGTAAACACTGCGCAAAGTCAATGCAGTTATTGAGGTTTATTTAATAGGAAAAGAAGTAAATATCTCGGCTTTACTTGTTTCTTCAGGCAGCCTCGTTATCTAGAGTAGATTGCAAGGAGAGTTCTTGACTCATTCTCGTGTAATGAGATTGCTTTATATGTTTATCTCGTATCTGTATCTAGCTACAGCCTCTTTTGTCAGGGTCTCAACGGACTATAAAAACAAATCTAAAAGTTAATTTAGAAAGGTAATCCGGAGGGATCCATTATCTGATCTCTCTATAGAAACTCAGCTAGGTGAGGTCCCGTATCTGAGGGCGTAAAAAGAAACAGACAAACAGAGCGTCGCCTCCAGCAACGCGAATTCCGCCTGCATCCACCGTCCGGAGCAGCAAAGCTCTTGACACCGAGCGCGGTTTCACTGGCGCAGTGAAACTGCTTTGCCCGATTAACTGGTCCCAGTCTCACCACGACGCTATCCTCCACCTCTACTCCGCCAAGAATTATTTTTTGGTTTTTTTTCTGCCAGTGGAGATCGTCACATTTCTCCACCTGTTTGCCCTGACCCCTCT